GGGTTAACGAAATATCGGAATTGTGTCACTGGATTCGCCATCTGTAGAAAGGGGATTTGCTAAACGGGAGTTACGGTCGACTGGGCGAGAACGATAGACTAAGAAGGCTTTATTGATACCTGTGTGGGTTGGAGGATGCGGTCTGCGGTGGGTGCGTGTCCGCGCAGCCGGCACCGTGTGCGGTGCAGGGCCATTGCGACTGTGCGTGTGGCGCTGCTCGTTTTGTTGGCGCTGGTTGCGGCGGCGGCGTGGATGCCTGCTGTGCATGCGGTGGTGTTGCGACTGCGGGGCGGTACGGTGGACAGAGCCATCACGGTTGGCTGCGCTGTGGGCACGGTGCTGATGGACGGCGTGTCCATCACGAACGGCATGGCTGTGGTGTTCGACTTGGCAGCGATGCTTCCCGGCGCGCTGCGCATCGAATTGAGGGACTGCGTGTGCGACGGCGGTGCGCAGATCTACGTGCGGGGCTACAGCGGTGAGCCGGCGACTGACCGGAGCCTGGAGGTGAGCGTGAGCGGGCTGTCCGGCGGCTACTGCTCGCTCGTCTTTGTGCACAACCTGCCGGCACACACGAACGTGACGGTCCGTGACTCGACGATTGTGACGCCGGGGCCGATGCGCTACTCGCAGCTGAGCGGGCTGACGGACGCGGTGGCGTCGCCGCTTGTGCTGCACGCGACGTCGCTGTTGCAGTCGCAGCTGCGTGTGAGCAACACTGTGCTGAGGTCGTTGCACCCGGGCGGCTCGGCGGTGTATTTTGGCGGCGGTGTGGACCTGCTGTCGAGCGCGGTGGTGCTTGACGGCGTGTTGCTGGAGGCGTCGGGAGGTTCGACCGCGTCCGCGATGCGTGTGGCGTCTTCGTCGTGTCTCAGTCTGCAGAGCCACTCGGTGTTCTCCGTGACGAACGTGTCGGTTGTGAGCAGCGGTGGCGGCATTGTGCTCGGAGAGCGCCTCGCGGTGGTTGATTCGGTGCTGCGCTTCGCGGGCGTCGAGGGGTCTGTCGCGTCCTCGCTGGTGCGCTGCGACGGTGGGACGGTCGGTGGCGGCGGGTGGCTGGAGCTGCGCGACGTGTGGGCGGTGGGCGAGGCGTCGTCTGTGGCGTCGCTGTCGGGGGTGACGCTGAGCGGCGGCACCGTGTCGATTGCGCGCTGCGCTGCCACCGGCGCTACGCTTGTCTCCGGGCTGACGATCACGAGCGGGGCCGTGTCGGTGCAGTGCAACCGTGCCGGCGGCCGGGTGCTGCAGAGCAGCGACGACTACCGTTCGGCCGGCATGTTTTCCGTGAGCGTGGTGCCGTGCGACGGCTGTGCGGCAGCGCTGGCATGCTTTGATGTGCTGACGGCGTCGTTCTCTGACTGTGTGTGCAGCTGCCGTGCCGGCGGCGTGGGCGAGGCGTGCCTGCCGTTCGACGTGCCGCCTGCGAGGTCCGGCGGCGGTGGTGGCGGCGCGGAGGGCTGCGTGAGTGGCGTGACGCTGACGGAGTCGGTGACGGTTGGCGGCGGGCGGGCGACGGCGTGCTTCGACTCGGTGGTGTTTAGCGGGTCGATCACTGTGGCGGTGGACCTGCGCTCGATGGATGCGTTCGCTGACGCTCTGAACGTGACGCTGCGCCACTGCGTGCTTGCGGGTGGCGCGCAGCTGCGAATTGGCGGCCTCAGCGAGAGCACGGCGCGCCCGATGCCGCACGCCCTCGTCAACATGACGAATGTGACGTCGCTGGATGGCACGATCGTGCTGCATGGCGCGATGCCGCTGCACTCGAGTGTGCTGCTGGCGAACTCAACGCTGCGCGCGACGGTTGGCGGGTCGCAGTACGTGCCGACGACTCCTGGACATGCGGGATTTCGGTACGGCCCCGCGCTTGTCCTGGACGGCGTCCGGCTTCTGTCGACGCGGTTTGTCATGACGCGGTCGACGCTGGTGTGTGGCGGAGGCTCGTGCGCTGCGATCCTCGTGGAGCACGGCCTTGGCGTGAACCTGTCCAGCGCCTTCTACATGGACAACTGCGCCGTCAATGCGCAGACGCACGTGATGTACGCTCTTGCGTCGTACCTCCGTGTTGGCGGCGGCTCCGTGTTCTCCATACAGAACAGCTCGTGGTGTGCGCCGAGCACCGAATATTACAAGGGCGCGTGTGTGTTTGGGGACGTTGCGGTGGATGGCGGCAGCGTGCTGCAGATCGTGTCCAGCGAGTTCCGTCTCGGCTTCGCCATGCTCATGGCAAACACGCTGACCGTGGCTGGCGGCAGCTGGCTGGTGCACCGCGACAACGAGTTTCGCACCGCCTACGTTGTGTACGTGGCCAACAAGAACGGCGTGACGTTCCACGATCGGAGTG